TTGCAGGCCAGAACCCCCAGCAACCGCACATTGATGTTTCTCTCTCTCTCTCTCTCTCTCTCTCTCTCTCTCTCTCTCTCTATCTCCCTCCCTTCCCTCTCTAAAAATAATAATAATAAAAATAAATAAATAATAATAAAATCTTAAAAAAAAAAAGTAAAGTTCTACAAAATTGTTAAGGGTGTTTACATTTATTATTACATTTTATGTCACATTCATTTGATATTCCCAGCCCTTAACAGAGTACCTGGAACATTATATGTGCTAAATGTTTGTTAAGTGAATAATGAATACTCTTTTCACCCACTGAAAAGAGGAGAGAGCTGTACAGAAAGAAAACCCTGGAGATTCGCAATGTCTCCCTCAAGTCGTCTGCTGATAACTGACCAGTGCATGTGTGTGGGGGAGCAACCGAAGTCATGGGAAAGTACTGAAGTATTAGAGAAAACAAAACCTGGAGCTCACACAGGGCAGTGCAGAGTTTGTGTTCCCACCTGCAAGGGTATAAAAATCCTGTAATTCATGGGACTTCATGTGAAGTGCTCAGAAGGGTATATTGCCTTGGTATAGGGCAAATTAGTCATAGGCTAAAGATTAACAGAGTTTAAAAGCAAACCTCAAGAGAATCAAACTGTTTGCAAGTATCTTAATTGTGTCCAAGGCAACATTTGAAAATATCTATAGGTATACAAAAATATCCAGTGCTCAGTAATGTAAAATTAACAATGTCTGTCATTCAATAAAAATTGACCAGGCGTGCAGAGAAGCAGGAAAATAACACCCATAATGAAGAGGGGGGAAATCAATAGATAGAAACAGACCCAGAAATGAGACAAATGGTAGAATTAGTAGAGAAGGACATTAAAATGTTATCACTATTTTGTATAAGTTGAAGGAGGTAGAGGAAAGATTTGATAAATTAAAGATAGGGAAGATAGAGAATAAAAAGACCCAACTTCCAGAGATGAAAACTATAATGTTTGAAAATAAAAATATGTTGGATGAGATTAACAGCAAATTAGACACTGCGGAAGAAATGATGAGTGCACTTGAATACACAGCAACAGAAACTGTTCTAAATGAAGGCCAGAGAAATGAAAGGACGGGGTGTGGGGGCGGTACACAGAGTATCAATGAGCTTTGGAACAAATTCAAATAGCCCGATTATATACATGTACTTGGGGTCTTCAAAGAAGAGATAGGGAAACAAAATATATGAAATACTGGCTGAATTTGTTCTAAATGGGAGGAAAACTGTCATGTTACAAATTCTAAAAGTTTAATGAACCCCAAGCACAAGAAGCATGAAGAAAATTATGCCAAGTTCTATCATAATCAAATTGTTTAACGCCGTGATAAAGAGAAAGGTTTGTAGCATTGGGGAGGGGAGAGAGAGAGACCTACTATGCACAACAGGACAAAAATAAGAATGACAGCACACTTCTCTTTGGAAATAATGCAAGCAAGAAACAGTGTGGCTTAAAAACTGAAACAAAAAAAAATCAGTGTAGAACTATATGCCCAAGGAAAATACATTTCAAAAATGAAGGCAAAATAAACACTTTAAAATATACAAAAGCAGAAAGAATTCACCACCAGTACATCTGCAGTACAACTATATTAAAGGAAGTCTTTCAGGAGGAGGAAAATGATAGCAGATGAACATCTGGATTTACTCAAAGGAATGAACAGCACTGGAAATGGTAAATGTGTGAATACAAATAAAAATGATTACAGATTATTATACCTTCAGTAACTCAGAGGACACATGATCTGGAGACTGAAACCATTCCATATTTCATGACTGTTTAAATAAAGTTTCTCAGTGGTCCCTCTGCTAGCCTCGGCATCTTTTTTTTCCAATTACAGTTGACACAATACTCTGTTAGTTTCAGATATACAACATGGTGATGTGTCATTTACATAACTCATGGAATGATCACACAATACATTTAGTACCCATCTGGCATAACTTTAGCATCTTTTAGAGGTAAATTTGTTTGTAAATGATTGGGAAATTTTGGCATGTACTGATGCTATACTAAATTAGTACAAATAAAGCAAATGTCGGTCATTTTTCCTATGTTGATAGCCAATTGGCTCTTGGTTGTCTCTCTTTAGCTTACAAGTCATCATTTTCCCTAGGTTGTGTTTTTGGCAGAAGGAAAAGAGGAGAGAAGCACATAAGACAGAGAACAGACACATTTGTTACAGCAATCACTTACCGAGGTCCAGTTTGTGAAGTACTTGAAATCCCATTATGGCTTTCAAAGTGTTATTCTACTGCTAGTAACTTCTACTACAGGTAGAATTGATTTGTTTAGGTAGCTTTCCTGAAATATCTTTTCTTGAAACCAATACGTTTCTTGATATGAGAGCTCAGATTATTTGCCCCTGTGTGAAAAAAAATTTAATAGCTTGTTATGTTCCATCACATCTGTCGTGGAGGTCTTTGAGATCTGTGATCTTAATGAAAATCAAACTCTCCTTAAGATATTTCTTTCAAGTGGCTGCTGCAAATTATTCTTGAGGCCACTAGATTTCTTTAAATTTTCTGAGTTCAGTTGATCCTTGAACAACATGTGTTGAAATGTACAGGCCCACTTACACACGGACTTTTTCAGTAAATATGCAGTCGGCCCTCTGTATCCCTGGGTTTCATGCCCACAAATTCAGCCAAGCATGGATCAAAACAATATCCATGAATGCAAAGGGCCGACCGTATGCATTGTTGAACACCATTTTATATAAGGGGCTTGTGGTATACCTCCAATGGATACTAAGGGATGACTATAGTTAAGTTTTTGGGAAATTGAAAGTTATGTGCAGATTTCTGACTGCTGGAGGGCAGATTGGTGCCCTAACTCCCACTCCATTTAAGGGACCCCACTGTATTTGATGTCTGGTGTGCTTACCTAGGGTGAGCCTGACTCAAGGTTCTTGGGTTTCAAGGGTCTCCCCTCTTTCCTTTCCTTTTTAAAAAATATATTTAATTGATTATGCTATTACAGTTGTCCCATTTCCCCCCCCCTCACTCCCCTCCACCCTGCACACCCTCTCCCACCCACATTCCCCCCCTTTAATTCATGTCCATGTGTCATAAGTTCTTTAGCTTCTCCATTTCCTATACTATTCTTACCCTCCCCCTATCTATTTCCTACCTACCATCTATGCTACTTATTCTCTGTACCTTTTCCCCCCTCTCTCCTTCCACTCCCCTGTTGCTAACCCTCCATGTGATCTCCATTTCTGTGGTTCTGTTCCTGTTCAAGTTGTTTGCTTAGTTTTTGTTTTTGTTTTAGGTTTGGTTGTTAATAATTGTGAGTTTGCTGTCATTTTACTGTACATGTTTTTATTTATCTTCTTTTTCTTAGATAAGTCCCTTTAACATTTCATAAAATAAGAGGTTGGTGATGATGAACTCCTTGAACTTGACCTTATCTGAGAAGCACTTTATCTGCCCTTCCATTCTAAATGAAAGCTTTGCTGGATAGAGCAATCTGGGATGTAGGTCCTTGCCTTTCATGACTTGGAATACTTCTTCCCAGCCCCTTCTTGCCTGCAAGGTCTCTCTTGAGAAATCAGCTGACAGCCTGATGGGAACTCCTTTGTAGGTTACTGTCTCCTTTTCTCTTGCTGCTTCTAGGATTCTCTCCTTCATTTTTACCTTGGCTAATGTAATTATGATGTGCCTTGGTGTGTTCCTGCTTGGGTCCAACTTTTTTGGGACTCTCTGAGCTTCCTGGACTTCGTGGAAGTGTATTTCCTTTGCCAGAATGGGGAAGTTCTTCTTTATTATTTGTTCAAATAATTTTTCCACTTGTTGCTCTTCTTCTTCCCCTTCTGGTACCCCTATAATTCAGACTATAGAACATTTAAAGATGTGCTGGAGGTTCCTAAGCCTCTCCTCATTTTTTTGAATTCGTGTTTCTTCCTTCTTTTCTGTTTGGTTGTTTCTTCCTTCTGGCTCACTCCACTGATTTGAGTCCCAGTTTTCTTCCCATCGCTATTGTTTCCCTGTGCATTTTCCTTTATTTCACTTAGTGTAGCCTTCATTTTTTTCATCTAATTTGCGACCAAATTCAACCAATTCTGTGAGCATCCTGATCACCAGTGCTTTGAACTATGCATCTGATAGGCTGGCTATCTCTTTGTCGCTTAGTTGTATTTGCTGTGGAGCTTTGATCTGTTCTTCTGTTTGGGCCTTTTTTTTTTTTGTCACCAAGCCTGTTATGTATGAGGGGCGGAGCCTTAGGTGTTCACCAGGGCGGGGCAACCCAGTCACTGGGTTGTGACACTCTGTGTGGGGGCGGGGTCCAAGAGGAAACAATGGCACTTTCTGGGTGCTCTTTGGATTTCAGTCCGTATTCCCCCAAGCAAACTGGGCCTTTCTGGTGCTAATTCCTGTGTTGGTGGGTTTGTGCACATTCTAGGACCCCGTGGGTCTCTCCAACGAACTCTTCTGTAAGGCTGGGAGTCTCTCCCTGCGCCTCAACCCCCACAGGTGTTTTCAATCAGTGCCCTGAGGCTCTGTTTCCCAGCCCTGGGACCCTGGGACTGCAGGGTCAGCCAGCCACCTTGTGCACAGTGCCTCGCTTCACAATCGCCACCTTGCTGGGTCTGCCTGTTGCCACCCCATACTTGGGGTCTGCCAGCCGCTGCCTGCATGCCCAGGGTCCACCTGCTGTGGTCTTGTGCGCCTGGGGTGCCTCGCACTCCTAGTGCCACCATTTTTTGTGCCGTGATCCCTCTCTGCCTGGCTACCCAACTCTGCCCCTCCTATCAGTCTGGATGAATGTGTCTATTTTAAGTCCTTGGTTGTTCAACTTTCATATTATTCAATTTTCTGTCAGTTCTGATTGTTATCTTGTTTCTAAATTGTTGCTGTCCTTTTTTTGGTTGTGTGAGGAGGCACAGTGTGTCTACCTACGCCTCCATCTTGGCCGGAAGTCCCCCTCTTTCCTTTTCATTTTATTAATTGTATTTATTTTTTAAAATAGGCCTTACATGCATGTGGCACAACATTCAGAAGATACAAAAGGACATGTAAGTGAGAGTGTACACCTTCTTCCATTCCTAGCCACCCAGTTTCCCTCTTGGAAGTTGCTAGTGTTACTGGTTATTTGTGCTTCATGTGGGGTCTGAACCTTTGTGGGCACATGTATATATTCTCCACACCCCACACTTGGGAGCATAGTGTATACAGTGTTCTGTGCCTTTCTTTTCCCACTGACCATGTATCTTTCCAAGTCAGTTTGTATAAAGCTGCCTCATTACTTTTTAAAAAAACTGATTCCAGAAAGAGGGGGAGGGAGGGAGAAAGAGAGAGAGGGAATCATCCGTGTGAGAGAGAGACATCAATCATTTGCCTCTTGCACAGGTCCCAACCAGGTACCAAACTGGCAAGCAGGTATGTGCCCTGACAGGGAATCGAACCGGCAACCTTTCTGTTCGCAGGATGATGCTCAGTCAACTGAGCCACGCTGGCCAGGGCTGCCTCCTGACTTTTAATGGCTGTGTTGTATTCCACTGTGTAGGTGAACCATAATTTGTTTAACAAGTCTCTCATTCTGGAGACCTACAGTTTTAAAAAATACTTTAGTGTGCTGTCTCTCCCAGGAGCATGACTGCGTCTTTCCCCCACAGGCGTGCATCTCCTGAACCCTGCAGGACCCCAGAGACTTACAATCAGGGGAGCAGTGGGCAGCAGCAGCTCATCCTGAGCTAACCCCACGAATCTGCCTTAAAGGCCCCCTTTCTCTGACTTCCCAGTGAGCTAAGGCAGCCCAGCCCAGGCTCTCCTGTTGCTGCTTCTCCTCTGAGCCCTTCCTATTTCAACTGTCCCCAGCTTTAGTCAACATATTCTCTAAATAAAATAATAAAGTAATAAGATAAAAATGTTTTAAATTCAGATATAATCTATATTCCATAACATTTACCCTTTTAAAGTGAACAATTCAGTGTTTTAATTCCAGAATATGTTCATCACCCCAAAAAGAAACCCCATATCCTGAAATCTAGGCTTTTACAGTCTTGCTAAAAACCAGTAATGCTGCACTGGATATTCTTATACACATATCATTTCCCACATGTGCAAGAGTGTGAGCAGGACAAATACCCAGAAATATATTTGCCAGGCAAGATGCGTTTTGCACTTAACATTTTGAAAGTATGGCTCAGTTGCCATCTCAGGAGTAATGAGTTTACACTCTCCACCACCAAGGTATAAAAATTCTGGGTTTTCCATTCCCTGACCAGCATAGTTCTTAACCAAACTTTATTTTTGCTATCTGACAAGAAATAGTATCTCATCATAATTTTAATTTATGGAAGTCCCCCTTATCCACAGGGGTACATTCCAAACCCCACCCCCCATGCCTGAAACCACAATAGTCTGAACCCTGTATATACTGGTTTTCCTATACATATATACACTTTATGGCTTCTCTTTGGAACATCCAAATTGCCAGCATTGCTACTCTCGTGCTTTGGGGCCATCATGAAGTGAAATAAGGGTGACTTGAACACAAGCACTGCAACACTGTGACAGCCAATCCGGTAACCCACAGGCTACTAAGTGAGGATGGTGGGAGCATGTGCAGCATGGAGTGGCTGGACAAATGGTGACTCATGTCCCTGGTGGGACACAGCAGGATGGCAAGGTTTCATCACAGTACTCAGAACAACATGCGATTTCAAACTTATGAGTTGTTTATTTCTGGAATTTTCCATTTAATATTTTTAGACTGAGGTTGATTTTGGATAGCTGAAACCACAAAAAGTGAAACCAAAGATAACAGGGGCTTCTAAAAACTTCTAAGTGAAGTTGATTATTTTTATAAATGTGGGGGCTGACTTTCTTTTTTTATGAATTATTCATACCCTTTGATTTTCTGCAGGGCAGCTTCTTTCTTTTTTTCTCATTTATAACCATTCTTTATATACCAGGGAGAAGAGCCCTTTTTGTGATAAATGAGTTGGAGATATAATTCCCACTTAAGTTTTTGGGTGGTTTAGTCTTTGACTTTTTATTTTTTTTATTGTGCAGAATTTAAAAATTTTATGTCATCAAATTGATCCATCTTTTATGACTTCTTTGTCTTACGACAGACTTCCCCCGCTCCAAGATTATAAAAAACAATTTCTCCCATGTGTTAGTCTAGTACTTAAAGGTTCTTTTCCTCCCCCACTGCCACCCCATTTAACTCTTAGATTCATCTGGAGTTTATTTTTGTGTAAGATATGAGGTATGGACCCACCTTCTGTATATGGCTAACATTTTCCTCCTGATTTAGTGGTCTCTCTCTTTTTCTCTCTTTCTTTCTCTGTGTGTCTCTCTCTGTCTCTGTGTGTGTATCTCTCTGTCTCTTTGTGTCTCTCTGTCTCTGTGTGTCTGTGTGTCTGTGTCTCTCTCTGTGTCTCTGTGTGTCTGTGTCTCTCTGTCTCTGTGTGTCTCTCTGTGTTTCTCTCTGTGTGTCTGTGTCTCCCTGTGTTTCTCTGTCTCTGTGTGTCTCTCTGTGTGTCTGTGTCTCTCTCTGTGTCTCTCTGTCTCTCTCTCGGGAAAGACCAAGTGGATAAGTGGATACACTGTTGTCTTGATTAAAGGTATTATTCAGTGTGTGTTGTCTCTGGAACAGTTTTAAAAATGAGCTTTAATTTCAGAGTGGTAGTCAGCTATGTGGGGCAGTGATTTCTGAACTCTTGGGGTACCTGCCTACCAGGATTCTGTAAGAGCTGCAGCCCCTTTTCACTGTGACAGGTTCTCCTGTTGTAAGCTGCTCTTCCTGAGGGGAATGTGTCTTGCTTGAGTGTGTTGGGCCAAGAAGCAGCTTTTAAGCACTGATCTAGGGATTTCCCTTTAGAGGGGGACTTATATTTCATACAGCCTTATAAAATTCACCTGTTGCCAGAGGCCTCTAGTGATTCCAGGGTTGTTACTTTCATGAGAAAAGAACCTTAACAAGAGTCCAGAAGTAAAGGGAGAAGCTTTTCAAAGAAAACTGAACTCCTCACTTTGGAGTCAATTCCTGACTCTCAGATTATCTTCCCTCCCTAGAATCATCCTCGGACTGTACAACTTTACTCAGGTACATTTGCTTTGGTAGACCTTTCCTGGGGAAAGGGACTGCTGGATTTAGCTGCTTTGTGACTGTATTTCGTCACCATGTAAAGCTGGCAATAGAGGGGTAAGAGTCAGTTCTTTTAATTTGAAACTGTTGAAGTCTGAAATGAGTATGGCCCTTTAAAAAGCAGAATTCTCAGGGCACCCTAGACTATAAAGGCTCCCAGAGTTCTACCCAAGGGGCGGGGGCGAACGGGGTAGGTCTGTCTGTAGGACTGATGCCCCTGACTAGGGGCGAGTGTCTCCAGGAGTCCTATCAAATCAAGTGTTGGAGCAGCCTCTGCGGTTTGGCTGGGGGGTGCGCAATGGCTTTTCATTGCATTCACTGTTGTAAAATTGTTTTTTTATTTGGGCTACTCAAGTAGCTTGTCACTTGGAACTTTGGGGTAGCAAGTGCTCTCTGTGTCAAAAGTCCCAGTGGCAGGGACACCTGGGCGGAGTGCCTGTGCTGACCTCCTTTCTCAGTCTGAGTGTTAATCCCAGCGTCTTGTTCTCTAGCGGAACCAGGAACCGAGTGTCAAGTAATGAGGGAAGCTGGGATAGTTGCAAAAGAGTCACGGGGCTTGTGTTTTTTCTTTCTAGGTTATTTTTCACTTACTTTTTATTGATTAGTTTGTTCCAGAGACTGTTAGACACTTAAAATATTTTTACAAAGAATATAGTGAAATTCTAAATAAATGGTCGTGTTGAAGTAAAGAAATAATGTCCACTTTATAGGCTTAATCATACGCCATAACTGTGATTTAGTCCACGTGATTGTGATGTCTAGGAGACAGGCGCATGGTACAATTATTAGCAATGGCTAGTACAGTTGTATGTCAAATAGCAGATTCAAGGGCAGCCCTTCACACAGATTTCTGTACACCTATTTAATAACAATTTTCCTCTTTTTCCTTTCTGGCCCACTTTCACTCCTCAAAAGTCATGCTATGTTCCCGCAGTCGCGCTAGTGTGCCCTTGAGGAACCCCCCATGTCTTAGTGCTAAAGCGAATTCCCCTGCGCCAGCCTCCCGTTTCAGCATGAGCCATGGGTGTCACCTTTTGATAAGCTCTGCCATTCTTTTCTTGCTCCTGTCTCCCACTTCTTCTCTCCTCTCCCCTGAAGTTTCCCTCAACTGGATTGTAATCACACGGATCATTCAGCAACTGAACAAATTTACCCACCAACGGGAAGGTCCCACATCAGGGGATACTTACCCCTTCCAGACCCTTCCAGAGGAAAGCAAGTTTCCTTCCATGTGGCAGGAGTCAGTTTTATATTTGTTTGGCCTTGTGACTGATAGTATAAGCAATTTAGGGGGAGCGGAGAGGAGATGGCAGCTTTAACAGAGAAAAAACATTTAGTAGAAATGATCCCTTCTGCCTTCTTCGGGCGTGTCCCTCTTCTGGGCATCCCTTCAGGATTTCATTCCTTCTTCCAACTGCCGTTCACACACACTGCCCTTTCCAACTGCTGCAGAACCCTTGGCCCTGGCATTCCGTGATGTAAATTATTCCACGCATGGCTTGAAATGGGTGTGAAGCAGTGTTGCCATGTGTCGGATCACTAGTGTAAGTTTAAAGGATCTTGGGATCTCTGGGAAGGGAGGAGAGGGGAGAACTGTTCTTGGAATTCGTCGGTTGCTGTCGTTTGAGCCAGAATCCAGTGATTGTGCTGGCTGAGCAGAGGCTGCTGGTGGCTGGGGAGGGCGGGAGCTCTGAGCCCTGTGCTGGGGTGAACGTGGGTTGAGACTTTCTGCTTTAAACATTCTAGTGTTGGGACATAGATTGTTTGGAATTGAACAGTTGGCAGTGTTGCTGCTACGGGAGGAACCTGGGACCTTTAGGGCGAAGCCTGTAGCAGTGCTGCCTGGGACTGTGTTGCCTCTTGTCTCAAAAAGTAGGAAGAGCCGACTTTTCTGTTTTCCTAAAGATAGCTAAAATATGGCAAGAAATCTAGATTGATCACCATGTTGGGAAACATCCAGTCACAAAATTTAAAGACTTCTGTGTCCATGAGATTTCTTTCTAAAACAAATATTATTTCTCCCTTGTTCATGACACATTTTGAGGAAGTTACTGTTCATGGTTTACAGCCCCTCTGGGGAATCTGGTGTGAGGGGTTGCTGCCAACTCTCTTTGATTTGTCCAGATTCCTTTCTGACTTGTAAGTTAAGGACTTGAATTCAATAAAAACTACTTAAATTGAATACTTAATCTCTTGAATGATCACAAAAAAATAAAGCCCCATTAGTAATAAGCAATTAGAGGAAAAACTCAAATGAAGTACAGTTATTTATATGGGAAAGTATATAGTATATTTTTATGTTACATGGATGCTACTGGCTTTAATCTACTTTGCTAAAATGTATTTTTTTTATTCCTTTTCTTACAGTTGTCATGGATGATGATGACGACTCGTGTCTCCTTGATCTTATTGGGTAAGATGCCTGTTCCAAAATCAGGGTACATTGAATGTGTGCAGTTTGCTCTACTAAAACAACCTAATAAGCCTATTAAAATCAGATGGGTTTTTTAAATAAAAATTAATCATCATAGTGTGGATTAACAAATAAAGAGTCTTGAATATGATAGGTGTCATAATTAGGTAATGCTTTATTTATCCTTTATTAAATTTATTTTCTAACAAGTCCCAGTAGGCAGAAATGAGAGATAATATGAAATAGAAAAACATCAAAAAATACATAAAATTAAAACAAAAAACCACTAATAAAATTGTTTTAAAATAGGGAGATAATTTACTCAGGCTAATATATCATTTTCTTTTTACCGTAGAAAAAATAATCTTAAATATAGGTAACATATTTATTGTTGCTTTCCCCCTTTTATTGTTTTCTAGAGACCCACAAGCATTGAACTATTTTCTGCATGGACCTAGTAATAAATCTGTAAGTAATACTTAGAACATCACAGATACAAATTTTGTTTCTTCTGTACAGTTAAAGTAATCACTCTGTCGAATTTATACCTTTGCAGAGCAATGATGACTTGACTAATGCAGGATATTCTGCAGCCAATTCAAATTCAATTTTCGCCAACTCTAGTGTGAGTATTAGAAACTGAATGCAGTGATCAAGTGTTTCTGTCTCGTTCATGCCTTGTGAATTGAGGCTTTACTTGCCTTTGTATCATGTGAGAATTATTACATTGTTTTTTGTAATTGACACCGAAGGAAAATCTATTGAATTATGTTGATACCTTCTACTTTTAACTTAGTCAAGACAAGGTACATGAGATTCATTTTGCCATTTTCCTAAGTCTCAACTTTTTAAAAACTGACTCAGATGTTATAATCTAAGAAAGTAGTATTACAGTGTTTTGCACCTGGATTACATAGCTTTAAATAAATTATTCTTAATTGTAGTTACTTGCTAAACATTTTCATCTTAAACAAGAGAAAAAATAATAACCAAAACTTACTAAGCATTTAGTATGTTTGTGGCTCTGATGGTTTAACATAATTAACTTCATTAATCTTCACAATAACTCCATGAAGTAGCTTCTGTTATTATCCTTATATTATAGATGAAGAAACCAAAGCACAGAGAGGTTAGTACTCTCCCAGATTACACAGCCAGGAGTTGCAGAGCAAGGATTCTAACCCAGGCCACCAGGTTCTGGAGCCCATATTCTCAAGTTCCAGGAGCATCTAGACAAGAAACCTGACCTGTAGAGTAGGGGATTTCTGCCTAGAGACTATATCCAAATTACTATGTTTAAGCCTATGATTCTTCAAGTCCTAAGATGGTGTCCAGCTAATGGAGACCACATTAGTCCCCTTTCAACTGTTGATTGGTTGACTGAGGGTAGAAAGAACCAGTTTTGGCTTTTCAATGTAGTTTTTCCCAGCATCTAGCTGCCAACATCGTATTAACTTAGGGCTGAGAATCTCTACAGTTTTGCACATTGGACTACTCATGCTTTGTTTTTGGACCACTCATTCTTGATCAATCTACTTTTTTTTTTCCTTCACCTTTTGAAAAAATGTTTTGATTGTGTTAAATACACATGTCATAAAATTTTCCATCTTAATCATTTAAGTGTACAGTTCTGTAGTGTTAAGTACATTCACATTGTCTTCACTTTATTTTATGTATTTATTTATTTTTAGAGAGAAGGGAAGGGAGGAAGAGAGGGAGAGAAACATCAATATGTAGTTGCTTCTTGCACACCTCCTGCTGGGGAGGGACCCGGCCAGCGATCCAGGCACGTGCCCTGACTGGGAATTGAACCTATAGCCCTTTGATTCGCAGGCTGGCACTCAATCCACTGAACCACACTAGCCAGGACTATTTATTTTATTTATTTATTTATTTATTTATTTATTTATTATTTTAAATTAGAGACAAGGTAACCTTTTAAAAAATTTATTAATTGATTTGAGAGACAGAGACAGACAGGGAGAGAGGGAAACATCAATTTGTCGTTCCACTTCTTTGTGCATTCATTAGTTGATTCTTGTGTGTGTCCTGATTGGTATTGAACCTACAACCTTGGCATATCAGGATGATGCTCTAACTAACTGAGCTACCCAGCCAGGGTCTGTCTTCACCTTATTTTAAATAGCTGTTGATTCTATATCTTCTTGTTTAACAAGAGAAAAAAAATCCACCTTTATTCATTTACTTTTCATAAATTTAAATCCATGAGGGGTATAGAATTTCACAGATTCTGAGTCCAATGGCCTTAGCAGGAAGGTTGCTTGGGAATTTGGCAAGAGCCATGCCTCTGTTTCCATGAGCACGAGTTCCCTTTCCCCAGAATGCCCTGGTTTTGTTTATTTGCCACCAGGAGTCACTGCGTTGTTCTTCGGTTTTTACACATAACCATATCTCTTACCTAGACAGAATTCAGGTTCATCTTGAACACAAACACCTTCAATTTTCAGAAGAGCTGTGTGCTCCCTCTGGTTCCAGAGACTCTGCTTACAGCCATCAAAAATGGTCTCGGACCAGAGCCTTCCAGACATGTTTCTCTCTATAGAGTCCTGCTCCCAGCAGGCTCCACAGGCTCCAAGATGGTGGACAGAGTCCATATCTTTTCTTTTATAATGTTGGCGTGTCCCAGGAAAAACTGCCGGCCAGTGGAATACACCTTATTTAGGAAGGACCATTTTTAGTTCTCTTCATATGCCCATATTGTTGATTCAAGTTGGAATGCCTGTTCCCTAAGGACACCTTAAGGACAGAAACCAACACGTAACTGGGTGCTGGATAAGTAAATGTTGATAGACTTATTTTTGGATAGGACACTGAAGTAGGTGGGTTTTTTTTAAGATTTTATTTATTTAGTTTTAGAAAGAGGGGAAAGGGAGAGAGAAACATGAGGTTATTTGGAGAGAGAGAGGAACAGCAAAGTGCAAGAGAATCATCAATTGGTTGCCTCTCTCATGCCCCCAACCTGGCCCACAACCCAGGCATGTGCCCTGACTGGGAATCGAACTGGTGACCTTTTGGTTTGTGGGATGATGCCCAAACCACTGAGCTACACCAGTCAGGGCTGAAGTAGTTTTTAAAGCATTATAATAGACTAATTACTTCTAAGAAATCAGTTGACCATTTACTCATTTGATGTGAAAAGCTTGTTTTTCCTGGCCTGGTCTTGCCTGGTGTGGTAGGGGTTAGAACTGGGGAAGTTCCAAGAAACCTTGAAAGACAGGGCTGATTCTGGGATACCTTCTGAACCTCGAGCAGAACAGCACCCTGAACTTGCAAAACTCGCCTCGACTCCTGTAGTACAAAGGACCAGATATGGCTATCTCCTTGATACACACACACACACACACACACACACACACACGGGTCTGAATCCCTCTTAAGCCTTGGACTAGAAGCAATCCTGAAAATTAAATTCTATGCCAGTATCTCAAAAAAGGAAGCTAAACTGTAGGTAGTCGTCATTAAGTTACTGTTATTTATTTATTTTCTATAAAATAGTGTATCAGAGCAATGAATGTATATAATTACAAAAATAACATTCAACACCATTACTTAAGAAATACACTGTCAGCCCTGGCTGGTGTGGCTCAGTGGATTGAGTGCCGGCCTGTAAACTAAAGGGTCACTGGTTCATTTCCCAGTCAGGGCACATGCCTGGGTTGCAGGCCAGGTCCCCAGTAGGGGGTGCGTGAGAGGCAACCACACATTGATGACTCTCTCCCTTTCTTTCTCCCTCCCTTCCCCTCTCTCTAAATATAACATAAATAATTTTTTTAAAGCAATACACTCTCAAAATAAGGTGAGCAGTTTGGAGAGTTGTGCTTGAAAAGCAGACTGTCATGCTTTATTCCTACTCAAAAGTGAGATTAGTTTTTTATAAGAATCTCTTTTAAAGGTTGGATATGCCGCGTAACACATTGCTTTTTATTTTTATTTTCAGAATGCTGATCCTAAGTCATCCCTCAAAGCTGTGAGCAACCAGCTTGGAGAAGGGCCCAGTGATGGACTGCCACTTTCAAGTAGCCTTCAGTTTCTTGAAGATGAACTTGAGTCTTCTCCTCTTCCTGATCTCAGTGAGGACCAACCTTTCGACATTCTTCAAAAATCCTTGCAGGAGGCCAATATCACTGAACAGACGTTGGCAGAAGAGGCATATTTGGATGCCAATATAGGTTCAAGCCAACAGTTTGCACAAGCTCAGCTTCATCCTTCTTCATCAGCATCCTTTACTCAGGCTTCTAATGTTTCTAATTACTCAGGTCAGACGCTGCAGCCTATAGGGGTGACTCACGTGCCTGTTGGAGCATCGTTTGCAAGCAATACAGTGGGTGTGCAACATGGCTTTATGCAACACGTGGGGATCAGTGTTCCCAGCCAGCATTTATCCAATAGCAGTCAGCTTAGCAGTTCTGGTCAAATACAGTTAATTGGGTCATTTGGTAATCAACCTTCCATGATGACTATTAATAACCTAGATGGATCTCAAATCATATTGAAGGGCAGCGGGCAGCAAGCCCCATCAAATGTGAGTGGAGGGCTTCTGGTTCATAGACAGACTCCTAATGGTAACTCCTTGTTTGGGAACTCAAGTTCCAGTCCCGTAGCACAGCCTGTTACCGTTCCGTTTAACAGCACAAATTTTCAGACATCTTTACCTGTGCATAACATCATCATACAAAGGGGTCTTGCACCAAATTCAAATAAAGTTCCAATTAATATCCAGCCAAAGCCTATCCAGATGGGTCAGCAAAGTACGTACAATGTGAACAATCTGGGAATGCAGCAGCATCACGTGCAACAAGGCATCTCTTTTGCCTCTGCAAGTTCACCCCAGGGCTCAGTAGTTGGTCCACACATGTCTGTGAACATCGTCAACCAACAGAACGCAAGAAAACCAGTCACCTCACAGGCAGTGAGCAGCGCTGCAGGCAGTATTGTCATTCATTCTCCCATGGGCCAACCTCACACACCCCAAAGTCAGTTCCTCGTACCTACAAGCCTTTCTGTCAGTTCCAACTCGGTACACCACGTCCAGACCATAAATGGGCAAATTCTTCAGACTCAACCTTCTCAGCTCATTTCTGGCCAAGTGGCCTCAGAACATGTCATGCTGAACAGAAACTCTTCCAACATGCTCAGGACCAACCAACCATATTCCGGACAGATGCTTAACAACCAGAACACCGCCGTCCAGTTAGTGTCTGGGCAGACATTTGCTGCCTCTGGAAGTCCAGTGATAGTCAATCATGCCTCTCCTCAGATTGTTGGTGGACAGATGCCCTTGCAGCAGGCGTCACCAACAGTATTACACCTGTCACCTGGGCAGAGCAGCGTCTCCCAAGGAAGACCGGGCTTCACCGCCATGCCCTCGGTGACGAGCATGTCGGGACCTAGTCGGTTCCCTGTCAGCTCATCCAGCACTGCCCATCCTAGTCTTGGGTCTGCGGTTCAGTCAGGTGCATCAGGATCGAACTTCACAGGAGATCAGCTGGCCCAGCCAAACAGGACTCCAGTACCGGTCAGTGTGTCTCATCGTCTTCCAGTTTCTTCTTCCAAATGTACCAGCACCTTCAGTAATGCACCTGGAGCAGGAACCCAGCAACAGTTCTTCTGTCAGGTACATTTCCTTTATCAGACAAATGCCTGGATAATTACAAAGTGAAAAGGTAGAATTTGTATGTAATATAAATTCTGTATGTGCAAATTCTATTTGTGTTTAAGAGTTGAGTTTTACCCTACTTCTGTAGACTTAATTTTCCTCATCAGTGAAATGGACATAATAATACTGCCACCCCACAGAGTTATTTGGAGGATTAAATGAGATAATCCACAGAAAGCATTTAGCATAGTCCCTGGTAAATAGCAAACATTTGATAAGCACCAAAATTGATATAGATTGGGTCCTTGAATAACATCGTTTCATTCAACATTGTTTTTTTATAACGATCAGATTCTATAGGAACTTAACGCCTTTTTTGTTTTGTTTTCTTAAGTATATTTCCTTCATTATGCTTTACAGTTGTCCCATTTTTTTCTCTCCTTTATTCCCCTTTACCCTGCACCACACCTCCCAGCAGCATCCCCCCACCCCTTAGTTCATGTCCATGGGTCGTACATGTAAAGTTGTCGGCTTCTCCATTTCCTATACTATTCTTAACCTTCCCCTGTCTATTTTGTACCTACCAATTATGCTTCTTATTCCCTGTACCTTTTCCCCCATTCTCCCCACTCCCCATTGATAACCCTCCATGCAATTTCCATTTCTGTGATTCATTACTGTTCTAGTTGTTTGCTTAGTTGGTTTTTGTTTTAGATTCAGTTGTTGATAGTTGTGAGTTTGTTGTCATTTTACTGTTCATAGTTTTATCTTCTTCTTTTTCTTAAATAAGTCCCTTTAACATTTCATGTAATAAGGGCTTGGTGATGATGAACTTCTTTAACTTGACCTTATCTGGGAAGCACTTTTTCTGCCCTTCCATTCTAAATGATAGCTTGGCTGGATAGAGTAATCTTGGGTGTAGGTTCTTGCCTTTCATGACTTGGAATACTTCTTCCCAGCCCCTTCTTGCCTGCAAGGTTTCTTTTGAGAAATCAGCTGATAGTTTTGTGGGAACTGCTTTGTAGGTAACTGTCTCCTTTTCTCTTGCTGCTTATAAGTTCTCTCCTTATCTTTAATCTTGGGTAATGTAAAAGATGATGTGCCTTGGTATATTCCTCCTTGGGTCCAACTTTGGGACTCTCTGAGCTTCCTGGGCTTCCCGGAAGTCTGTTTCCTTTGCCAGACTGGGGAAGTTCTCCTTCATTAATTTTTCAAATAAGTTTTCAATTTCTTGCTCTTCCTTTTCTCCTTCTGGCACCCCTATGATTCAAATATTGGAACGTTTAAAGTTGTCCTGGAGGTTCCTAAGCCTCTCCTCATTTTTTCGAATTCTTGTTTCTTCATTCTGTTCCAGTTGAATGGTTAATTCTTCCTTCTGTTCCAAACTGTTGATTTGAGTCCTGGTTTCCTTCCCTTCACTGTTGGTGTCCTGTATATTTTTTCTTTATTTCACTTGGCAATAACCTTCACTTTTTCCTCTCTTTTGTGACCATACTCAGCCATTTTTGTGAGCATCCTGATTACCAGTGTTTTGAACTCTGCATCTGATAGGCTGGCTATCTCCCCATTGCTTAGCTATTTTTCTGGAGTTTTGATCTGTTCTTTCATTTGGGCCATATTTCTTTTTCTTGGTGTACCTGTTATGTTTTAAGGAGTAGAGCCTTAGGTATTCACCAGGGCAGGACAACCTACATCTCTGTATAGTTGCCCTGAATGTGGGGGGAAGAGTCAGAGAGGGAACAGTGCCACTTGCTCTGCTCTCTACCAGCTTTCAGTCACTTCCCCTGCTATCCACAAGCAAATTGGGCCCGTCTGGTGCTAATTACCAGGTGGGTGGATTACCAGGTTACCAGGTTTGTGTATGTTCTAGGACCCTGTAGGTCTCTCCAACAAACTCTCCTGTGAGGTTGGGAGTTTCTCCCACTGCTGCAACCCCCACAGATTTTTACAGCCAGAGATTTTGAGGTTTTCTTTTCCCCAGCTGGAAACCTGGGTTGCATAGTCTGTCTCACTCCCCAGTTGTTCCTCCTGGCTTATCCGCCTGGGCAAATGTGGGTCCGCCAGCTGCCACCTTGCCTGTCCAATCCTCCAGCTGCCACCTTGCCATGCATCCTCTCTTCCCCAGCTGCCTATCTCTGTCCCTCCTACCAGTCTAGGTGAATGTTTCAACTTCTTATTTGTTGGACTTCCATACATTTCAATTTTCTGGCAGTTCTGGTTGTTTATTGTCTTTAATTTTGTTGTTCTTTTGGTTGTGAGAGGAGGCAAAGTTTATCTACCTATCTAGCCTCCATCTTGGCCAGAAGTCCCTCTTTTTTATTTTTAGACAGAGGGGAAAGGAGAGAGAGGGAGAGAAACAGCAGTGTGTGGTTTCCTCTCATATGCCCCCTTCTGGGGACCTGGTCCACAACCTAGGCACGTGCCCTGACAGGGTTTCAAACCAGGGACCCTTTGGCTCACTAGCCAGCACTCAGTCCACTGAGCCACACTAGCCAGGGTTTAACTCTTGTTTATATCAATTAACCTGTGGTGAAACTCATTTTATTATACATCGTTTCACTTAAACTTGCAGAACCTATTGACAACTTTAAAGTGAAGACTTTATACATGTATTTGGTTGACTGTATTATTGGCATTTAAAATGAAAGCTTATTATAGATTATTTACTTACCTATCATCTAGCAAGCCACTAGGTCACATGACCATGTACTAGTTGTGGCTGGTTCTTTGGTGCCAACCAGAAAGTGTCAGGGATGCTGTGTGACTCATTGGTGAGTAACCGGTCTGCACCAGGGAGGAGCACATACAGGGAGGGATTCAGGGCACTGTGATCTGACCAAGTACTAGAATCTGCTCTCACCATGCCATTGTGTAGGTAAATTAACCATGGGCAGTCAGCTAAACCACATGAGAATTATGTTTCCGAACAGTCTCAAATGTCATCAGCTTTGGTCCTCACCCCCATCTGCCCATCCTAGCTTTTGGTTCCCACTCATTCCGAGTGCATTCCTGAGTTCCACTCCCCACCTGCTTTCACCCCATGGCCGACCCTCCTGAGTCCTCCATTACTTTGGTATCAAAGATGTGCTTTGAAACAATATCAGATTTATAGAAAAGTAAAATTTGCAAGAATAGTATAAAGAATTTTTACCCTGGCTGGGGTGGCTCAGTGGGTTCAGCACCAGCCTGAAAAACAAAAGGTTGCTGGTTCAATTCCCAGAAAGGGCACATGCCTGGGTTGTGAGCCAGATCCCCAGTTAGAGGGGTATGAGTGGCAACAATTAGCACTTCTCTCACACATTGATGTTTCTCTCTTTTTCCCTCCCTTCTCTTCTGTCTAAAAAATAAATTAAATCCCTTTAAAAGAAGAATTATGTTCCCTTTACCAAGATTTCCTAGGTGTTAACTCCTACCACATTTGTTTCATCCTCTTTCTATCTATCTCTTTCTCACACACACACAGGCAAAATTTTTCTTTTAGCCCTGGCTGGTGTGGCTCAGTGGGTGGAGTGCCGGCCTGCAAAACAAAGGGTTGCCAGTTTGATTCCCAGCCCAGGGCACATGCCTGGGTTGCAGGACAAGTCCCCAGTTAGGGGTATGCGAGAGGCAACCACACATTGATGTTTCTCTCCCTCTCTTTCTCCCTTCCCTTCTCTAAAAATAAATAAAATTAAAAAAAAATTTTTAGAGTAAATTGCAGTCATGTTGCCTCTTGACCCCTACTTTGGGCTTCAGTGTTTATTTTCTAAAAACAGGGACAGTTCCCTACATAACCTTAGTACAGTTATCAAAACCAAGAAATCAGCTCTATTACAATATTATCATCTAATCTACAGAACTTACTCAGAGTTAGTCAATTTTCATAGTAATGTCCCTTTTAGCAAAAAAGAAAAATTATTTTTTGTGTTTTTTTTAACGGTTCAGGATCCAATTCAGGATTACTGTCTAATTTTCTTGTCATATCTTTAAGTCTGGAAGTTTCTCTGTCTTTGCTCTTTCATGCCCTTTATATTTTTGAAGAGTACAAACTAATTATTTTCAGAATTATAGAATGTCCCTGAATTTGAGTTTCTCTGACATTTCTTCATGACTAGACTTAGGTCATACATTTTGGTAGGATTGCCATGGAAATGATGTGTCCTCACGATGCGGACTTGTCCCATTACTGGTGGCGTTAACTTGGACCACTTGCTTAAAATGGTATCTGGTGCATCTTACTATGTCCCTTCTGGGAAGTAGTTTGAAATTGTGTAGATATCCACAGTTTTGCTCATCAGATTTGTGTACACCAGTTTAAGCTTCCATCGATAATTCCTGACTGAGTCAGTTGTTACTGAATCAGCTATTATTATGATGATCACCAAATACAGATTTTCTAATTCTGTCATTGGTTCTGAATTAATTGTTGGCATTGTAATCTAAGGAAACCCTTTTCCTTCTTTTATTTATGTTTGCTTATATCAGTATGGACTCACGGATTCCTATTTTATTCAATGGGTTATAATTTGTTACAATCATTTATTTTGATACTCATGATCTTGATGGCCATCTTGATATCTTTATTTTGATACTTATTTAACTTGATGGCCAGTGGGCGCCCTTCCAAATTAGCCGCTGGCCCTTCTGACACGTCTCCACCATGCTCGGAGCACGTTCCTCACTTTCTGGCAGAACAGGACGTTCCATGTTCATCTTCTACTTTCCCTGCTCTGCCCTGGAATCAACCATTCCTTTAAGGAGCCCATTTCTTCTAGTGGAGAACAGTATTTAGAAACCGAGTTCTCAGCACTACGTATACATACTGCTGAGGATGCCTCAGCTGGGACTTACCCAATATTTGTAGCTATTTATTTATCTATCAACCTATATTATCTAGTTCATATTGATACTTCCATCTACTCCAGGACCTCGGGGCTCATTATTGAAGTCTCCTTTTCTATGTTTGTAACCCCCTTTTCTTCCAGTGGGAAGGCCATCCCCACAGCATGTTTACTTATTTGCTTAATACAAGAATATAG